CACGAAGGGCAGCGAGGGGACCACGAAGGGCTGCAACGAGGCCACGAAGGGCAGCGAGGGGGCCACGAAGGGCCGTAACGGGGCCACGAAGGGCAGCGAGGGGGCCACGAAGGGCTGCTACGGGGCCACGAAGGGCAGCGAGATCCCGATTCATAAAAAAATATGTGAGGAAGTTCTAAGCGTGAGCGCGACTCCTGGGTGCCTGAGTTTCGAGGGCGCGGCGCCTGAGTAAATTGCGGGTGCGGGAAATTCAAACGCAAGGGCGCCATTTCTGCGCACATTGAAAGCAAGTCTCCAGCGAGAGCGCGACTCCAGAGCGCCAAGAAAGCGATTCCTGAATAAACTGTAAGGAAATCCCAAACGAAAGCGCGATTCCTGAATAAAATGCGAGGAAGTCTTAGGCGGGAGCGGGGTCCGGGCTAAATTGTGAGGAAGTCTAAGGCGGGAGCCGTTGTTGTTGTAAACCGGGGGCCAGGGACACAGTCTGAGCCTCAAAACTTTCCCTGATACATAACAGGGTGCGAGCCCCGGGAAAGGCACTTCAATTTAAAAAAAAACAATGTGCACGGGAGGGGGGATCAACAATAATTATACTTCAGAACTGAAAACTCAACAACAACAACGACACAAACAAACACAAACACAACAAGTACAGCAACCACAGCAACAACAACACCAACACCACCATCACCACCAACACCACCAACAACAACAACAACAACAACGACAACAACAACAACGACAACAACAACAACGACAACAACAACGACAACAACAGCAACAACAAACACAACAATACCAACCACCACCAACAACAACAAGTACAATAACAAACACTCAATAGCAACATCATCAACAACAACAAATACACAACCAACAAATCAACCAACCAACCAAACAAACAACAGCATAGCTGCCAGCGTTGGACAGATATTGTCACCTGTGTCGCTGCACTGTTAGTGATGAGCCACGTGCACCGCAAAGCGGGGGGGGGGGCTGGGAAGGGGCATGCCACTCCTTGACAAAAGCCTTGCCCCGATATGTGGGCGCCGCGATCGCTGTGGCCACCTCCAAAACCGACCCAGAGGTGTTGCTCGAGGTCGGATACCACGCAACGATCAGGGGTAATCCAAGACATTCTGACCTGCGAAGTTGCTAGCAGACCCAGCTGTGCCAGACCTCGTAGATTCCTTCGGGCAAGTCTTCGGAAACTGATTGCTCCACAAATGGTGCATCCAGTAAAGTGTAGCTGAGACGAGGACGAGGATCGGGGCGCAGGTAATCGACAGTTGGCCTGAATTGTGGCGTAACAGCCGATCCCCTCTGCAGAGGCCTTCTTAATGGGCTTCGGGTAGATGGGGTCGGAGGATCGCGCCGCGTCGCCGATGGATCGCCGATGCATCGGCAACCGACGTCGGGGTGGAACAAATCAGGCTCCACCTCGCGCCGCATGAACGATGCATCGCCGATGCGGCGCGATCCTGCGACCCCAGGCAGTCGGAACCCAACTGGGAGGCCTGCTCGCTGGCCCCTCCCTGGCGGAACCCGGGCTCTGGATGCAGAACGCGGAGCCTGCGACCCCCGCCTCGCGCCCCTCCGCAGATGCCCCGCTTACACGACGACGACGACGACGACGACAAAATCGAAAAAGACGACAAACACGAGGAGGAGGAGGAGGAGACGACGACAAAGACGACAAAGTCGACGAATTCGACAAAGACGACGACGGCAACGGGCTGGCCGTTATGTCCGATATCAGCAGCGTCTCCCCGAAGTGCCCCCTCGGGCCGCGGATCTGCCACTCGAGGTTCTCCTCACCGCTGGCCGCCCCCTGCATACCCCACGAAGTACACGGACGACGACTGACCCCGACCTGCTCCTCCTCCTCCTCCTCCCTCCCTCCCTCCCTCCCTCCCTCCCTCCCTCCCTCCCTCCCTCCCTCCCTCCCTCCCTCCCTCCCTCCCTCCCTCCTCCCTCCCTCCCTCCTCCTCCTCCTCCTCCTCTCCTCCCTCCTCCTCCTCCTCTCCTCCTCATCCCTCCTCCTCCATCATCATCATCATCATCATCATCATCATCATCATCATCATCATCATCATCATCAGCATCATCATCATCCATCATCATCCTCATCCATCCTCATCCTCATCCCCCTCCTCCTCCCCCTCCTCCCTCCTCCTCCTCCCTCCTTCCTCCCCCTCCCTCCTCCTCCTCGGGGCGGCGGCCGCTCGGGCCCGCCCAGGGCCGAGCACCACCTCCGCCGCCGCCCCTGCCTGCCCCGCGAGGGCACGGACGACGGCGGTTGGAGGCCTGGAAAATCGGCACCAACACCAACACAGGGGTTTGCCTCCACAGGGGGAAGCTGATCCCAGATTTCGGTGCTGGTGGCACTAGTTCGGTCACCCTGGAAGCCAGAATGTTACCACCATCACCGAGATCGGGATTCTCTTCCCTCGGTGGAGGCACACCGCCGATAGTGGTGTTGGTGTGAATCTCTAGGCTTGCGAGGCGGGCCCGGACCACCGACGCTCCGACGGTGTCGAGCCGGGCGCTCTCCGCAGCCTTCGGCCCTCGGGGGCCGGTGCCTCCGCAGAGGCGCGCAGGCCAAACAGAGTCGGCCCCGACGGAGACCTTGGCACTCCTCACGGCCTGGCTCCGCGTGGGCTTCCGGGAGAGGCCCGGTCCAGGCGGAAGAAGCCCGGACGGAGACCGAGCACCCCGAGTGCCCTGGGCCCTGGGATTAAGTCGGGCATGTTCCCCTACAAGCCGATGTTGGACGAAAAACAAAAAATGACAAAAATACGGAAAACAGAAACAAAAATAAATAAAAAACATTGTCCCAAGACTATCTTTGGACTATTGTTGCATATTCCCCCGTAGAGGGACAGGCCCGACTTAACCCTGGGATCCAGGACGAACAGAAACTCCCCCCCGTGAAGGGGTTCGGAACCTCTGGGGCCGCGGGCCGGACCAAAATCGCACCGTCGGATGCCTGGCTTTACCCCACGAGGACGAGGACGACGCCTAGGACGGCGGCCAATACGAAGGCGACGACGCCGACGCCGACGCCGACGCCGACGCCGCCGCCGCCGCCGCCGACGCCGACGCAGACGACGACGACGACGACGACGACGACGACGACGACGACGACGACGACGACGACGACTGCGGCGGCGGCGGAGGCGGCAGCGGCAGTGGCAGTGGCGGAGACGGCGACGACATTTCAGAAGCGTTTCCTCTCGGCGAAGATCGTCGTCGTCGTCGTGATCGTGGCGGTCGTCGTCGCCGCCGTCGACTCCAATGTCTAAAGTCTCTGGGCGCTCCTGGCGGGCGAGATCGGCGTCGTCGTCGTCGTTGGTCGGGAAATGCTTGGGTGTTTCTGGCTGGACTCGGCTTGGAAATCTTGAATGGTTCCGAGAGGGCTCCGTCCGGAGACTGATTTTGAGGTGCCCCGACGACGGCAGAGACAACGACGACGATAATAACGACATCAACGACGACGACGACGACGACGACGACGACGACGACCTGCGGTGCACCCCCGCCGCCCCGCCGCCGCCTTGGGGCAGAAGGCCTCGCCCTTTGTGAACGCCGCGCCGTCCGTGTACAGGCGGTAGTTCGAGCCGATGACCCACTGGCCCTTCGCCTCCGACGTAGGTCATCGTCGTCCTCGCCCTCGTCGTCGTCGTCGTCGTCGTCAAACGTCGTCGTCAAACGTCGTCAAACGTTGACGTCAAACGTTGACGTCGTCGTCGTCAAACGTCGTCGTCGTCGTCGTCAAACGTCGTCGTCGTCGTCGTCGTCGTCGTCGTCGTCGTCGTCATCGTCGTCGTCGCCACCGCCGTCGTCGTCACGGCGTCCACGGCCGGCGGCGTCCCGACCGCGGCGGCCGCGACCGCGCCGTCCGTGGCCGCCCGGCGGCCCCCGGCCACGGCTGGCCGGCGGAAGCGCTGCGAGGCGGTGGCAGCGCCTCGGCCGGCGGCGGCGGCGCTGCGTCCGCTCGCCCCCTTCTCATTGCCTCCCTCCTCGCTCCCGCCCCCCTCCTCCTCCTCCTACTCCTCCTCCTCCTCCTCCTCCTCCTCCTCCTTTTCCTCCTCCTCCTCCTCGTCCCCGTCCTCCTCGTGCATGCAATCCGGTGCCAACGCGCAGGTGCCGGAAAGGCCGTGGCAGCCTGCTGGGTCCGTGCCACGGCCCCGACGCCGCTGGACTAGCAGAGGCGCGCCGGCGGCTGCGAGGCGGCCTGCACCCGCACCGCCAGAGGCAGAGACAAAGGCTCGGGCAGCCTCGAGCTCTTCTCAGACGCCGAGCGGAGGATTTGGCGACGAGTGCTGGCGCCCGACGCTGGCGAGGAAGAACAGGAACCCCAGTCAGACCAAGTTGCGGGCTCAGCTGGCGGCGTCTTCACATCTTCGACGTAGCGCGTCTGCACGGGTTCCCCAGCCCAGCGGAGGCAGTGGCGCGCGCGGCGGCGCTAGACAGCGAGGGCTCTGAGAGCGACAGTATGGCGTGAAGGCGGTGTGCTGCATGTACCTCCCGCCCTGAGCCGTCGAGGCCGCCAGGCCTCGGCGGCTGTGCGGGGCCGCCGCGGCGGCCCAGGTGGGCTAGACTAGCACGCACTCTGCCCAAACCAACCCAGCCCAGCCCAACCCAACTCAACATCCTCCTCCTCCTCCTCTTCCTCCTCCTCTCCCTCCCCCAACCGCGACCCTCACACCGCAGGTGTCATCCTTCCCCTCCTCCTCCCTCTCCCCCCATCGATCCTCCTCCTCATCCTCATCCCCCTTCCTCCGCCTCGTTTTCCCGACTCCCTCCTCCTTCTCCACCCTTCCCGCCCCTTCTACCCCCTCCAAGGAAGGATGGCGGGAGGACGAAGAGGAGGGAGAGAGAGAAAGACGGCGACGGCGACGACGACGACGACGGCGACGACGACGACCTCGGCGAAGACAGCGGCGACGCCGCCAGGGCCGCCTGCTGGAAGAACATGTACATCGTCTGGGGGCTCTCTGGCGTCGCTTCCTTCTCGTATATGGGCTTGCCGCCGTGCATGCCTCCGCTGGCCAAGGGGGGCCCGAAGCAAGCCTTTCTGCCCTTCGGCGGCCGCCGCCGGCGCCAGCGGCAGCGGCATCGGAGGTCGTCGCCGTGGTCATCACGGGATGATTATTGCCGGCGCGACCCGGTGAATCCCACCAGCCGTTTGGGCGTAGGTGGTCTAGAGTGTTTCCTCTGTTGCCCCTCCTACTCCCCCCTTCGGGGATCGGGGAAGGGTTTACACCTCCCCCCACCCCCTCCTCTGGACCTGGACGGGGGGTTTCGCGACGCCTCGGCGAGGAAGCCAAAATCAATGGTTTTATTAAGGTTTGGGCTCCATTTTTGGCCTCATGAGGGGGGGGCCGTACTTGGGGACCCCCCCATCTTTGATCTATGTCCCCCAAAATGGCCCCAAGATGCGCCCAGGAGGCCCCAAGAGGCCCCAAAATGGCCCCAAGATGGCCCCAAGAGGCCCCCAGCCCAAGAGTCCCTCAGGATCGCCAGGAGACCATCAAGACGTCCCAAGAAGCTTCCAAACAACCGCCCAATAGATATCCCAAGGGGTTCCGAAAGGCATTCAGGAGACATCCAAAAGACCCCGAAGAGGCTTCAAGAGGATCCCCGAAGCCCCAAACATCCCCCCAAAACGCTCCATGAGGTTCCCAACACAATTACCAAGAGACAGTCTATGAGGATCGTATGTTCGTCATGTTTCCTCTTCCTTCTCCTTGTCCTTCTTTTCCTCCTCCTCCTCCTCCTCCTCCTCCTCCTCCTCTTCCTCCTCCCCCTCCTCCTCCTCCCCCCTTTTACCCGCCTACTCATCATCCGAGAACCAACGACATCGGCAGCAACAGCAGCAGCACTAGCAGCAGCAACAGCAGCAGCAACATCAGTACCAGCAGGGGCAGGAGCACCAGCGGTAACACTTGCTACCTTCGCCACGAAAGATATCCCAATTCACCGTTGTTGCCCGCTCTGGTTCACTACGTGCGTCTCTTATGCCCTTCTTCCGTGAGCTTTCCTGGGCATCGTTTCTGGATGGGTTGGTGGGGATTTTTGAGCGAAGCCAACCGCGCACGGTCGAGAAGGCCGTAAGCAAGACGCAAGCGGGACGCTGGAAAAGTGCAAAGCGAGGGCAACTACGCGGCGGGAAAAGAAACGAACGAAGCCACACGAAAAGAGCGAGAAGAGCGGAAGACACAAGAGCGATGAGGAAGAAGAGCAGAACTACATAATGCAAGCCACAGCTCCAACTCAAACCAAGTAGTAGACGACCGTCCCTTGTCGAAGTGCCAGTACTTGTACTTGAACACGGCGTACCCAAACCAATGCGCTGAGATGGAATGCCGCGAGAGGCGCGAGGCCACAGACCACCGCCGACGAGAGGACCGTTAGCGTCAAGAGTTTCAGACAACCATCACTGAGGCCATCTCCGGGGCAAGCGTAATCTGACAGCAAGGACGTCACATCCCACGAGCCCCAGGAAGAGCAAGAAGGAGCGAGCCCGACCGAAGAGGCCGCGTGCAGATCCAGGACTCGAAGAGCACCAAATACCGAGGGTGGAACACGCTGATGACGGCGAGGACAGCCCAGGTGAGCCGGGCGGGGAGCGGGAAACTGGCGCGGCCCTGGGGGTACGGGCGCACCGGCCAAGACGGTTGGGGCGACCAGCCCAGGCCCGTCGGGGGTGCAGCCTCAGGGCGATGGGGGATTGCATCGCCTGAGACCAGCAGCTCACTGGGGGGCGCAGCACAGCCACGGGAAGTGGGAAGGAGCTCGCGATTGCACGCCGTGAGTGCCCAGTGCTCAGGTAGGGTGCAGCCGCGTGAATGCGGGAAAGGATGCTTTCGCCTGAGACATACCGGTGACAGGCCTCGGGGCGGCAAACAGGGGGGCAGCAGAATGCCGCCCACGACCAAGACGGGGTGAAGAGCCACGCGACTGCACCGCATGAGAAAATCCGGTGCTTTGGTAGGGCGCAGCTAGCAGCCGCAGAAGGCGGGAAAAGAAGCTATCGCCTGAGACATACTGGAGTGGAGTGCAGCCCAACCGCTGCAGGATGCTGGGCAGGAACATTAGCATCGCCTCGGATGATATCGACGTTCCGCTAGGCTGCAGCTAACAGCCGCAACAAAAGGGGATATGGTTTCACCAGAGACATCCCGCTGCTCGGCCGAAGTGCGGAGGACGGCCGCAGGAGGAAGGGGGGGTAGCCACGCCTGCGGTATGCGGACTATATTGTAGGGCGCGTCTAACAGCCGCGGAGGGCTTCGCGCTGGCGACGTAAGAGGCTGCCACGCGCTCTGGTAGGATGCAGCTAACAGCCGCAGGAATGTGGGGAAAAACGTTCTCGCCTGAGACACGCTGGCGATCTGCCCGAGCGGCAAACAGGGGATTGGGCGAGGGTTGTCCCGAAGCGCTGGAGCCAAGGCGGCAGGAGGAGGCTGCACGACGGCGCCGCACCCGAAGTCGCGCTGCTAGACGTCGCACGCTGTCGCAGTGAAGCTCGCCGTGGTGGGGGCCGTGGACATCGCACTGTTCGGTGCGGCACTGGGCCTGAGACCTGCAGCTCACTGGGCGGCGCAGCTAACAGCGGCGGGAAGTGGGAGGAAGCTTGCAATTGCACCGCATGATGATGCCCAGTGCTCTGGTAGGGTGCAGCTACCAGCCGCAGGAATCTGGAAAAATATGTTTCCGCCTGAGACATACTGGTGCTCGGCCTGAGATCGGCAAACGGGGGGGTAGCCGAGTGCCATCCACCGCGAAGAATAAGGTGAACAAACACGCGATTGCCCCACGTGAAAATGCCCAGTGCGCTGGTAGGGTGCGGCTAACAGCCGCAGAGAGGTGGGAAGAGGTGCTACCGCCTGAGACATACTGGAGGTCAGACAGGGAGCGGCAATCGGGAGGGTATCCGATTGCCGTCCACGACCAAGAGCAAGGTGGGGTAGCAGCAAACAGCTGCAGGATGCCGAGAATGACTACTAGCTTTGCCAAGACGGCGTCGATTTTCTGCTGGGTGGCAGCTAACAGCCGGGAGTTGATTTCACATGAAACACCCCGTTGCTCGGTCGGAGTGCGGATAACAGCCGCAGGGCGAAGGAGGTAGCGTCGCCTGCGGTGTGCAAACTCTCTGGTAAGGTGCAGCTGACATCCGCGGAAGGCTTCGCACTGGTGACGAATGAGACTGTCCGGCGCTCTGGTAGGGTGCGGCTAACAGCCGCAGGAGTCTGGGAAAAAACAACTTTGCCTGAGACACGCTGGCGATCTGCCTGGGGGCGGCAAACGGGGGGGTAGCCGAGTGCCGCCCCGAACCGCTGGAGCCGAGGCGGCAGGAACGGGCTGCTCGACGGCGTTGCACCCGCAGTCGTGCTGCTCGACGTTGCGTTAACCGACGCAACAGCGCCCATGCCGGAGCACGCTGTCGACGTGGAGCTCGCCGCGGTAGGCCTCGGCCGACGTGCGGCGACGCTTCTGCCGTATCCATCAGCGTCGGGGCCCGGTCCCTGGCCGCCTAAAGCGACCGAAGGGGCGACAATCATCTACAGGGGAAGATGAGACGTAAGAGGCGCCCCGGGAAGGGGGCCTAGAGCCTGGGGCGGGCCATGAGCCCCAGCCTGGCGCGTCCGAGGTGGCATTAGCACGCCAGAAAGATGCGTGCGGTGGCAGGCTGGCCCTCCGTTAGGGAGGCGGCCCCCGCCTGGCCCAGGGGGCGCCGTTGCCGGCGGCTGGGCCTAGAGGAATGCCCTGGCTGGGCGAGTATTCGGATCGTCCTCGGGGCCAGATGTCGCGCTACGCGTTGCGTCGCTGCCTCCGCGCAGCCCTTTGCCTTTGCCCTTGCTGGGTTCGCCCCGGCGTCCGGTTATCGCACGGACGCGCGCGCGTGCTGCATTCCACCGGACTACGACCTGGAAGTCTGCGTCCATAGCGAAGACGTTATACTTGAAACGTGCCCACCGTGTGCGCCTGGGCGTGCGCGTGCGCGCGCGTGCGCGCGTGCGCGTGCGTGTGCGTGCGCGTGTGCGTGTGCGTGTGCGTGTGCGCGTGAGTGTGCGTGTGCGTGTGCGTGTGCGTGTGCGCGTGCGTATGCGTGTGCGCGTGCGCGGGCGTGTGCGCGTGCGCGTGAGCGTGCGCCGGCGCGTGCGCGCGCGCGCGTGCGCGTGCGCGTGCGCGTGCGCGTGCGCGTGCGCGTGCGCGAGTGCGTGTGCGTGCGCCTTCGCGTGCGCGTGCGCGTTGTGTGTGTGTGTGTGTGTGCGTGTGTGTGTGTGTTTGTGTGTGTGTGGGTGTGTGTGTGCGTGTGTGTGTGTGTGTGTGCGTGTGTGTGTGTGCGTGCGTGCGTGCGCGCGTGCGTGCGTGCGTGCGTGCGCGTGCGCGTGCGCGTGCGTGCCGTGCGCGTGTTCGCGTGCGCGTGCGTGTGGCGCGTGTGCGCGCGCGTGCGTGTGCGTGCTTGTGGCGTGTGTGCGTGTGCGTGTGCGTGTGCGTGTGCGTGTGCGTGTGCGTGTGCGTGTGCGTGTGCGTGTGCGTGTGCGTGTGCGTGTGCGTGTGCGTGTGCGTGTGCGTGTGCGTGTGGCGTGTGCGTGTGCGTGTGCGTGTGGCGTGTGCGTGTGCGTGTGCGTGTGCGTGTGCGTGTGCGTGTGCGTGGTGCGTGTGCGTGTGCGTGTGCGTGTGCGTGTGCGTGCGTGTGCGTGTGCGTGTGTGCGTGTGCGTGTGCGTGTGCGTGTGCGTGTGCGTGTGTGCGTGTGCGTGTGCGTGTGCGTGTGCGTGTGCGTGTGCGTGTGCGTGTGCGTGTGCGTGTGCGTGTGCGTGTGCGTGTGCGTGTGCGTGTGCGTGTGCGTGTGCGTGTGCGTGTGCGTGTGCGTGTGCGTGTGAGTGCGTGTGCGTGTGCGTGTTGCGTGTGCGTGTGCGTGTGCGTGTGCGTGTGCGTGTGCGTGTGCGTGTGCGTGTGCGTGTGCGTGTGCGTGTGCGTGTGCGTGTGCGTGTGCGTGTGCGTGTGCGTGTGCGTGTGCGTGTGCGTGTGCGC